ATTCCTCCCATTAGGATTTGACTAAGTGCCCATTACTATCTAAGTCAACAACCCAATAAGGTGACAAGATGAAAGTTTTGGAGCTTCATGTCATCAATATGTGGATGACACACAGCTCTATCTCTCCTTCCCCCCTTCTTCAGTGGATGCTATCCTGTCCCGTAAGCGCTGCCTGGATGCTGTGTTGGGATGGATGAGAGAAAACAGAATGAGGCTGAACCTGGACAAGACAGAAATCCTGTGGGTGGGACTCCCTAGTGTCTGTGGTCTGGGTGCTTCCCTAGTCCCTAGTGTCCCTGGGTGCTTCCCTTTCCTTTGGGGGGGGTCACGCTTTCTGCAAAGGATGAGGTGCGCAGCTTGGGCATATTCTTGGACCCAGTGCTATCAATGGAATCTCAGATAGCATCTGTGATCCGCACCACCTATTTCCATCTAAGGCAGATCACCCAGCTGCATCCTTACCTTCACACTGGGTCCCTCACCATGCTGGCCCATGCACTAATAGTCTCAAGATTAGACTACTTTAATGCTCTGTACGCGGGTCTGCCCTTGGTGCTGTCATGGAGACTCCAGCAGGTCCAGAACTCAGACGCCAGATTACTGAGTGGAGGAAGAAGACATCAAGCTATCTCCCCCACCCTGGCTGCCCGGCACTGGCTACCTGTTCATTTCTGCGTCAGCTGCACGGTAACGGTGTCAACATACAAAGCTCTAAATGGTTTGGGATTTTGTTTTCTGGCAGAATGCCTCCTTCCAACCAGATTTGCTACTCCTGTAAGATCCTCCCAGGGCCAGGCTGGGTGGTTGAGAGTTCTGGCCCCAAGAGAGGCTCGGAAAACAACAACCAGAAACTGGGCCTTCTTGGTAGTGGCACCTCAATTGTGGAATGGTCTCCTGCCCAAAATCTGCCTGCCCCCTTCATTGGGAAATTTCAAGCGATTACTAAGAGCATGGTCATTCAGACAGACCTTCCCAAACTCTATTATACTCTGATACAATAGCGTTTAAACCACATTTGCTAATGTTCAACCCTCCACCATGCTTTCATTATTTTTAACGTTTAATAGATATTATTTTCATTATTGTGCTGTTATTGAACTGTTTTCCCTTTTATTTTATTGTACTGTCCATTATTTTTAACGTTTAATTGATATTATTTTCATTTATTTATACTATATTCATAATTCTACATTATTGTCCTGTTATTGTACTGTTTTCCCTTTTATTTTATTGTACTGTGTAAGCTGCCCAGAGTGGCCTGAGATGCCAGATGGGCAGTATAGAAATCAAATAGATAGATAGATAGATAGATAGATAGATAGATAGATAGATAGATAGATAGATAGATAGATAGATAGATAGATAGATAGATAAAATTAAGAATTAAAAAAAAAGATATAAAACAAGCAAAGTTTCCTACCATCTAAACATCAGACCACAATTGCAATCTGTCCTTCCCTCTTTTAACTATAAAGGGGTGGCTGAGGTTAAAGATGCACTGGTTCTTTCTTCTCTGGAGCAGCTCTTTAAATACTTTAGAAGCAGACCACGATGAAGACTCCACATTTTTGTCTTGCCCCTGGCTTAGTTTCCTCTCCTGTGACTGGCTTGCCAGGAGAGCTTCCCTTCAGTCATGAAGTGAGGGTTTCCAGAATGATCAAATTTCACATGACAACCTAGAGAATATGAGACTTGGCTGCTTGCTTCCCTCACCTATAGGAGGTTACAAAGAGTGGCATTTGGTGAGTTTGGGTGGAGCACATGAAGAGTTCCCTGTGTGAAGTGGCACCCAATGTTGCTCTCTTTGAATTGGGGTATAAAAGTTATACTAAATGCTAGCCTCTGTGTAAATGTGTTTGAGCCTCTGAGTTTTCATACCCATTCAGCACAAATAGTAGCAATTCAAGAATGCAAGTCTGTTTCAATCTGTTACATCAAAACAGAGCTCCAACCTCTCTCACATTAACATTAAACAGTATTGGACAGACTGGACCATTTTTCTCCAGCACATTGTGTATGTAGTGCCATTTGAAAAATGGCACTACACACACAGACAAACACATGACCAATAAAATGAGGCGGGAGGAAATCTGGTGAGCATCTTAAGCACAAGAAGGTATCTTTGAAGCCTATGTAGTGCCATTCGAAAAATGGCACTACACACACAGACAAACACATGACCAATAAAATGAGGCGGGAGGAAATCTGGTGAGCATCTTAAGCACAAGAAGGTATCTTTGAAGCCTCCAAAATTACTACATTGCATTATAATTAGAAAGCAATTTAAAGATATTTAAAACCAGTTATGTTACATTTCCATTCCTGCTAACTGCCATTTTAGCTCTTTCCTGGCATCTTCTTTTTGGAATGGTGGATATGGTGCTTTTGCGTGGCTGAAAAATAATCCTCCATTCACCAATTAACCTAAAACACCCATAAAAATAAAAAAATGCGTAGCTCAGTGTTTTGTTTTCAAGACAGGAAAACAACCTTAAACAAAAGGGGACCATAATGTTCCTTGTCGTAATATTCGAGACAGCAGTGGTTTTATATTTGTCTCAATGGTGCCATAATGCTTTTTTTTGTTTGTTTTTGTTTTGCTTTGCTTATATCTGTTACATCTAACAGTGATTTCTTAGCTGAGAAGGGTTGTGTGGAGGGCCAACTAGACAGGATGGTGAGTGTTCCATGTGCTTATACAGGGAGGTTCCCCAGTCATAGAAAATGATGGAACTGGTATCTTTTCTAAAATGGCTATGCAAGATGGAAGCGGGGACCATGGCCTTCAGGCTTATCTCCTTGGAGCCTCGCACCAAGAACTGTTCTTTCAGGCAAACATACTTCCACTGTGTGAGAAGAATGGTTGGGGAGCAAAACTGCAGGGTTAACCCACAGGCTGTAGGGCAGGCTCTCGCGTTTTTCTTGGATTGCTACCCCTGCCTGCCTCCCTCCCTCCATCCTTTCCATTTCAGACTTTTTCCCCTTGATCTTTTGGGGGGAAATTTCCAGCCATATCTTGGATTCTTTTTGCTGCTGCCAGGCAGTCTGCCTATGCCATTGTACCTCCTTGGGATTATTATTATTATTTTATTCTCCCAACCCCATTTCTTTAGAGATTTTTCCCACTTTTTGGGGGGGAAGGGTTTCTTTCTTGGATTATTTTTGTTGCTGTCAGCTGCAGGATGCAAAGAAGAGAAGATAACACATACAATAGTAGAGGGAAGAGAAATCTCCCCATATTCTAGTAGTTGGGGGGGTGAGCGCTCTGGTTGTATTGCCCCCCCCAATTTGATTGTTTGCTTTTCTTGCTTTTGAGAGAGAAAGCTGTATTGTTCTGTTATTGACTTTCTTTCTCTTCCGGGGGATGGGGAGCGCTCTGGTTGTATTGCCCCCCCCCTTAATTTGCTTGTTTGCTTTTCTTGGTTTTTGAGAGAGAGAGAGAGCTGTGTTGTTCTGTTATTGACTTTCTTTCTCTTCCTTCCTTCCTTCCTTCCTTCCTTCCTTCCTTCCTTCCTTCTTGCTATTTATAAACATTATTTGATTAATTTACTGTGTATTTATTCTGTTAGAGATGTATATTTTGGTGCATTTGGGGAAATCAGCAACTGTTTTGTTTGATTTTGTGGTGCTGTGTGAACCAGATGGGTGGACTTAATGACTATGCCAGTGATCCACTCAGCTGTGTGGACAGGTCTTTCTTTTAGTGGTGTTGTGTTGTTGTTGACTGCTTTGGTGAATGGTTATCTCTGTGTGCCCTGTCTGTTTCCTTGCCTTTTTTCTGTTGTCCTCTCCAGGCCCAGAGAATCTGTTGTGTTGGGTAGCTGTTACTGAACTCATTCTGTTGTTCTGAATATGATAATAATATACTAGTGCCTATATAGATCCCATGGTGATTTTTCTTCCTCATGTGCTCTTACCTGCTTTTGGAATAGAATGGTTCTCTTTTGCATTGCCTCTGCTTTTTTCGAGTAAATTTGAAAGGCCCTTTAGAGCTTTCTGGAGTAACAAACAAAAAACAAATAGGAAACAGGAAACAAATTACCCAAAAAAGATTTTTCCCCTTTATGTAAAACAAAAGACAGGTGCACAAAAATACGAGAATGAAACCAAAGAGGCATCACTCTGATAGAATCCCAAAATGAAAGAAATACAAAAATCATTGCTATGCACATCCCTATATCCCTGTAACTATGTCCTAGTGCTAAATAGGGTATATAGCATTAAAGAATTGTATAGCAGAGAGGTGAGAGGGGCAGCTGAAAAGCCAAGATGGACGCATGCTCTGTATTTGGAAAGTGAATAATTTTTCTTTCCAAATACTTGTTAAATACTTGAATTGTCCATGCTGAGGCCTAATTTCATAGAACTTAGAAAGGCCCATTGTATATCTAGAAAGTGAAAGAGTAATGGAAATTGCTTGAAGAAAATCACTGAACATAAAATCTAAAAGCAACAACCAGCACTACCAATGGATTCATACCCTCTCAGACTAGTGGTCTCATACTGCATTTCATTTTCAGTCCATCGTGGAACAGTTTTGGTTTTCTTTGGCACACGTTATCAAAATGAGCAATGTTGATAATTTTCTGGCAACAGTGTTTGCAAGCTTGAAATCTGTTCACATTCTCTAACATTGGACAATAAATCTTACCTTTCTTTTAGGACAAAGTGGGTGATAGGTGGCACCTCCTATTTGAGCTGATTGTCTGCATGCCCCTCATTCTTGTGCGTACAAGAAAAAGCCCTTTCCACACTTTGCCCAGCTTTTTCTAATCACTTAATAGCCAAATCTTCCAGACCTTGAGCTCTCACGAAACTGCCATTTGATCACTTTCAGTGGAAGGTTTGTTTGAACAGAAAGAGCTGGATTTGGCTAGTGTTGAGTAAATCTCACTGATTTGTGCATGCCTTTTCTTCATTGATTCATGAAACGCATGTGAGTCTATTTCATCCATGTGACCTCTTACTATATCCATCATTCCACTTTTCTTTCCTATCAGAGTGAAATTGGACACAGCCCTCCTCCTGCCTACACCCCTATGTCAGGAGTAAGTATCTCATCATCATCATGTTAGGGGTTTGTTCGTCTTTTTAAGAAAATGTATCCTTTCTTCCTCTCTTGTCTCCATAATTCCACAGTTTCTCTTACTCTCTTTAACATATCCAGCCTTAGAGCCAGATCTGTTGATCAGCTCCAATAGAACGCCTACCCAATCAGCATTTCTCTCGAAGTCCAGTAAAAATCTTACTGAGAGCTCAGAATTCTATTAAAACAAACCTATCATCACTGCTTTATATACAAAACGTTTGTACTGTACCTAATTGGCCAGTGTTGCTAGTTCATTGTTCAGTTCTGTATTTTCTTCATGTTTGGTAATTGATGTGAGTTAAAGATAAGGAACAAGTGAACCAATAAGGACATCACTCTAAGGTCTAAATGCATCTTTATGGAATCAGCCCTGGGAGACGTGAGTGCTGCCCTGGGTCTTGTGTTACTGCTGGAATTGTGTCTGTATGTACGTACACATCTGTGTCCTCATTCCAATGAGCTCCCAGATTCTGGAGTGGCTTAAGGAAGTGCCTGTTGTCTTTGCAATTTATATTTGAGAAGCAGCTGTTAAGGTTGGCAGAAATCTTCTCAGATATAAAAGCTGGCAGAAAGCAGATGCCAACAGATTTAATAAACAATGGTTTGGGTTTGGTTGGAAAGGAATGATACATTGTTCTCAAAGATGCTGTGTTCCAGTTTCTTTCCCATGTATCCATATGTGAAACAGGAACAACGGTGTGCACACCCTGCCTCTTGGTCTCATGTGCCTGTGCTGGTTCCACACACATCAGAGGGCCACACATAGGCTTTACATTTCAATGGGGCGCATAGCATAGCCCTAAATCTGGCAATCCACTCCCAGCTTTTCTCCTGATGTTTTGGGCTGTGCTTGTTATATCTTATGTGGATATGAGGTGATCCCAAATATGTGACAAGCACCCCAGCTGGGCAGAAAAGCATGTTATGATCTTGTTCCACCCGCTGGACACATGAGGAAGAAAGAGGAGTTCTGCAAAAATGGAGTTAGTGTTTGTATATTATGCACGGTTCCTTCTGCCCAGGCTAAAAAGAAGTAGTCAGTCAGCTCCTGATGGCCTTGCACCTCTTCCTTGCTGCTGATCTTCATCCTCTGTCCATGGAATGAAATCTTATTTGGTTCCTTTCTTCCTTTGCAGGGAGGTCCTGGCAACCAGTCTATTCCTGCCCTTTATAGGGCACAGGGGCAGGAGACTGAGTGATTAGAAACATGATCTTTGACCACCTGTTCTTGGAACATGGCATGGGTGAATCTGGGGCATGCCATGCAAGCAGTTGACAAGCTTGTTGGGGAATCCATAGCTGTGCATGAATAAAATGGGCCAATAAAACCCTGGAGCTGGTTCCGTTCCTAGGCAGAAACAAGAAAAATCCAACAAATGCAAAAGACTACTGTAGTTTGTTGATCCAGAAAGTAGGGATTTGAATCCCAAATGCTTTTCTAGTGCCAAAGTCATCAGCAGGGTATTATTAAAAATATATTATAATCTCATAAAATATGAGTTTGAAAAATGTTGTAACACTTCAAATAAATAAATGTATGGTAGTATCATTCAATAAAATATGTAATTTACAAGAAAATAAAAACTTAATACTGTAATAATTTTCAAGTCAATTCTGACATGGCAGTCCTCCCAGGGTTATCTAGTAAATAATACTCAGAAGTGGTGGAATCCAAGGACTGTGCAGCTTGCCCAAGGCCACACAGGCTGGCTCTTCTCCCTGGAGGCACAGTGGGAAATCTCATTCCCAACCTCTACCTCTTCAACCAGATACCTAATTCACTGAACTATCTAGTCAACTACTCATAAGAAAATTAAGATGGGAGGATATTATCTTTACTATGCATCCTAGATACTCAGAAGTGGTGGAATCCAGGGACTGTGCAGCTTGCCCAAGGCCACACAGGCTGGCTCTTCTCCCTGGAGGCACAGTGGGAAATCTCATTCCCAACCTCTACCTCTTCAACCAGATACCTAATTCACTGAACTATCTAGTCAACTACTCATAAGAAAATTAAGATGGGAGGATATTATCTTTACTATGCATCCTACATACTTAGTATGGTGTAGTGGGTAAAGTGAGGCACAGAAACTCAGGGAACATGGGTTTGAACCCCTGCTCAGCCATGGAAGCTCACAAAGGGGTGGAATTGGTAAAACCATTCTTAAATATATCACTTATTTTGAAATCCTTGTTAGGATCTGTATAAGTTGGCTCCAATGTGATAGCACATAACACATACAAAGATCTTATACCCTTCAATATGCCACACAAAAACACTTTCCTTATTCAGAATAACTACTGGCTGCAGGCATAAGTAGAACTGATTGTTTAATACAGTGCATACTGTAAATGTTAAATTCCAATTTATTTAGAAAAAGTCAGAGAATTGGGAAAACTAGTGCAAATGCAATGTAGCAGTATCTACCACAAATATAAACAAACCACGTATTTAATTCCCAAAGACCTTTAAAAAAAAAAGTCCAGAATCCTACTAATGTTTACATTTAAAAAATATAATTTGCCGTGACTAATGGAAAAGCTGCCAGGGTGTGTCTCAGTCATGTGTCTGGTCATGCACCCAATTACACAACCAAGATGCACCCTGGCACTTCATCAATTAGCTGCAGCAGTAAGTTACACACTAATGACCACCAATAGGATACCAGCCACTGAAAGTTAGTTTGAAGCCTACGGGAGGTGTGAAAATGTATTGTTGTGACATTAGATGTCTTCAGCATTTAAGGAGCTCCTTTTTCTAATATCATGCTCTCTGTAATGTGTCCTTTGACTTGAAGCCACCAGGGAGTTGGGCTCAAGTGAACTCTTGGGGTCAATTACTTTGGGAGAAACATATGAGGCGTGAAAGAGGAATACAGTAAAGGTGGCAGAACCACTCAAGTGGGTAGAGCACAACCCTAGACCGCTCCCCAAATCATCCTGGCTCATTGGTATCCGTAATAGGTTATGTGAAAAAGACAAGATACTGGTTGAAGGGCTAACTGTTGTTTATTGTTCAAATGAGAATAATAACAATTTGGATGAAAAAAGTACAAACAAATTTTATATAAAGTCTCAACTTGAAACATTCTATTTTGTTATCAGTTTTGGAATTTTGTAAAATTGGTAAGTTTTCTGCAACTTTTTTTTAAAAGAAGACATATGCAGTACAAGTGAAATCTGGAGGGAAAGCCGATCGCAAAACCATTATCCTGAGGCACATGGAGCTCCAGCTGTGGGAGCTGTTATGGCACTCTGACAAGGCGCTGGTCATGCATATTTGTGTGCCTGATCGCATGACCTGGTTGTGCCACTGCTACTGCTTCCACAGTTAGCCCTCTACACATGTAAACGCCAAACAGGATACTGGCCTATGTAGCTTGTGCTACAGAATTCTGTCATGAAATTCTCTCTCTCTCTCTCTCTCTCTCTCTTGGCAGGGCACATTAATGGAGATTCAGACTTTTGAACCAGATTCACCTGGAAGGAACTCTCTCTCTCTCTTTCTCTCTCTCTCTTTATATATATATTTGCATAGGAATCCAGGGAATCATCAGTACTGTAAAGAAAGGACATTGATGTTGAGCTGTTCCAGTTATTCCAAGAGATGCCTTTGGAACAAATGTGCCATCTAGAAAAAGACATATCATGTTGAATGCATAAATGAACATTATATGCAATTTTATACGTGTAAAACTCACTGAGGTATAATGTTACTGTTGCCATCTTCTCACATGGTGTTCTGTGTTTCTTTTTAGAACCAGTTTATCTACAGAGATGGCAGCTTAGCTCCAGAGCAGGGAGTCCCCTTGCCCTATCGGGCTGCCATACCGAGCATAGCCCCAGAACCTCCCATCTTGCAAGGGGCTGCAGAAATCTGTGACGACACCTGCTGCAATGGCACTTTACGGAAGCAAGTGGCCAGCCTTTCGCAGGAAGACAGCATCACGCAGAGGTACAGCGCTGACCCGACCGTTTTTATACCAGAGCGAGGGGCACGGAATGAGCTGGATGAAGACGGCTATATGACTCCGATGCCAGAGAAGTCCAAAACAGGTCTGTACCGTAGCGTGTGAATAACAAGCTTTCTGGTTGGGAAGAGAATCTTAACTCTGTCTGAAAAGATTTTACCATGGAGGCTAATGGCTCATAGCCATTGGCTTTCGGAGGTTATTGTTTCTCATGCTGGCAGGCCAGTTTTCTTCCAAAAACTTGGCAGTGTCCATGAGATTTTCCCTGCCTCAATTTTGTCTTGCAAATAACACTGAACGACTAGGCTGGAAGGTAAGTGTAAGGAGTCATTGCATTGGATTGTATACGTACTCAACCTTTCCCTTTATTTATCAATCTAATGTGATTTGTTGTTACATTTTGGTAAAATGTGATCATAATTTATTTCCAAAAGATATGTATAAACCTTGCCAGCATTCTTTTCCATTTGTGACTGCCTCATGAAGGTAATCTTTCAGGAAAAGGTACATTCCCCTCCCCCCCCTTTAACATAGGCTTCTGAAGTTACAGGACAAAGATCAAAAACAAAGGATATCTTTATTAGACCACGAATGTCTCTCAAGAAGGCAAGCTTTGAGTCCTGAAGGACTCTCCATCAAGGATGTAAAAGTAAGGATAATAAAGTATGTGTTTAGCACAGGCAGAATGAAATAATAAACATAAATTACGAGTTTTGCAAAAATGAAGGAGAGATTAAATTAGAGCAAGGATTAATCTGTGGATAGGAAAAAGAAACCAGTAAAGCCATGTGTTTCTAGCAATACAAAAGCAAGGATAAGTGATACTTTTATTGAACTGCTAATTTTTTTAAAAAAGCTACTTTTATTTACATGCTGTGCTTAATAGTTTAAAAGGGGGGAAATGATTCATTTGAAATGTGATGCTGAATGAGAGCTATGTGGATACCCTGGACTGCCAGAAAGACAAACAAGTGAGTCCTAGATCATGTCAAGCCTGAACTATCTCTTGAAGCAAAAATGTTGAAACTGAGACTATCCTACTTTGGGCGCATCATGAGTAGGCAGGATTCTCTGGAAAAGACAGTAATGCTGGGAAAGGGGGAAAGCAGCAGGAAAAGAGGAAAGCCAAATATAAGATGGGCTGACTCCTTAAAGGAACCACAGGCTTGAGTCTGCAGGAGCTGAGCAGGGCTGTTGAGGACAGGACATTTTGGAGATGGCTCATTCGTGGAGGTCATCATAAATCAGAAGCAACTTGATGACACATAATAACAATAGTTTCTCACTGTCGTTTGCTTGCTTTCACTCCACTAATGGCTATCTCCCATATCAGATTGTGATGAAGAGCACTGTTGCTTCCTGGGAACTGAGACAAAGTAAAGTAAAGATAACACCTCTTGGCATATTTGGGGTGGTCATGAAATATGGGGAGGAATTTAGGTATGTCTCTTTTGACACAAAGGTACATGGTTACAGGCTAACATCATGAGGTGTCATCTTAGAACTGCACAATTCCCACCTTATGGAGAGAGAGAGAGAGAGAGAGAGAGAGAGAGAGAGATATTGCCAGCCTTAAGGCCTATCTTATGGTGTTACAGCCAAAGCCGGGTGGACTTTATTCAGAAAAAACTGAGACTGTGCAGAAATCTTTATATTGGAAAATGATGGTGAAGTAAATATTAGCCTTTTATTTCAGACGTATGTATCTTACGATACCATGTACCAGCTTTACAACTTACATAGCTTAATTCATAGCTAATAAAATATGTTTTACCTGCCTTTCAATCTAATAAAAGGCATACTTTTCCCAAGGGTCTCACTAAACGAGACACTGATTCAATATATGGAATCAGTGCAAGCTTTAGAAGAAAAGATTCTGTTCAGCCATAAACTTGGCCTTATTTTTTAGCTGGTCTATTTGAAGGTAGTGTGGCTATCTTTGCATATTTGAAGTCTCGGGCAGCAGACAGCAGTGAAAGATTTGTGTGCCTGGAGGGATAACATTAAGATAGCAGGGAATGTCTTTATGACTCTGAGGCTTACTTGCAACAATTTATGAGGACACAAAGACTTCAGTCAAGTTTCTTGATTCTGAATTCATTTATTCTTGTCAAGCAACTGGTTTTTGTGATTCTAAAATCTTGTTAGTAATTTTTCTGTTATTTAAAATGATTAAACGTCAGAGATGGACACGAATCTTGGTTCAGAGGTTTGTGCCAGTTTGTATGCATGGCACCACAAGTGCTGTGCAGTCCCTTCCCGCACCTGCCTAGCGAATGACCCACACACCAGTTGGAGTATGCTTCTCTCCTCCTCCTCCTCTTTGACTCTTCAGCCAGCCCCCGGCAAGAGCATGGACTTGCCTGTCCCACCTCCTTGTCTGAGTGGGAGTTCAGCCAAGGAGGCAGGGCAGGGATGCTTGTGTTCCTGCTGGGGACTGGTTGAACAGCTGAAGAAGAGGAGCAGAGGAGCGCCCGCTGGCTGGTGAATGGGGGATCCAGGTGAGGCAGGGGAAAGGAGTGTGCAAAACATGTGGTTCCATGCATATGAACTGTCACAAACCTCTGGAATGAGGTTCATGCCCATCTCTATTAAAGGTATTTTTAATAATACTGTTATACTCCCTTTATACTTACAAACACTAGGGTGGTGAACAATTCATATACCTATAAAAAAGAATAAACACAAAATGCAATTTGAAGAAAAAAAATGCTTCAGAGAAACCATTGAGAGTTGGCCAATGCAATAAGACCAACAACCCAGCTTATAATACCTGGGGCCCCAGAATAGTTATTACCTGACACTGGAAGGAAGGCAACATCTTTTGCACCTAAATTATGAAGTGTTCCTAGTGAGTACTGACAGGTTGGACTGGTTGCACACCAAGTTCCAGGAAGAGTCCAAAGTGCCTCCACCTTGCCCAGATTCACTTTCATATTATGTATTAGTGCTTCTCTTACCCATTCCTTGAATCCAAATAGAAGTTCATTGCCTGCTGTTGTTAAACACAGGTCCATGATACCGCAAGGCCTCCTCTCTATTGCCCATTGTTTTGTATAACTTGCTAAGATTTCAATGCTATATCCAGATGTTAAGCCCCATCAAAATCATGCATAGGATTGTTCTGTAAGGATAAACAGCAAGCTCTGTAGAACACTTTGAATGTTTATCAAAATGTACCATTTTCTTTCTTACAGTAACTTGCAGTCTGTTGCAATTTCATACAAATGACAATATAAACACATAAACCAATTCATTTTCTTTTAGCCTCTTGTCACAAGCTGCTTGGTGCAGGAGCTGTTTATTTGGTTAATATACCTTTTGTCATTTCTAGATCATCTGAATCCAGTAGAAGAGAACCCGTTTGTTTCCCGGCGGAAGAACTGCGATCTACAAGCACTGGACAACCCAGAGTATCTCAATGGCCAAAATGGGAAACCCAAAGCCGAGGATGAATACGTGAATGAGCCATGGTACCTCAACACCTTTGCAAGCACCTTTGAGAATTTGGAGTACATGAAGAAAAACGGGCTCCCGTTGCCTGAGAAGCCGAAGAAAGCCTTTGACAACCCAGGTTATTGGAATCACAGCCTGCCTCCACGCAGTACCCTCCAGCATCCGGACTACCTGCAGGAATACAGCACAAAGTATTTTTACAAACAGAATGGAAGAATCCAGCCCATTGTGGCAGAGAACCCCGAATACCTCTCAGAGTTCTCCCTGAAGCCTGGCATGATGCTGCCTCCTCCACCTTACAGACACAGAAACACAGTGGTGTAATCCCGGAAGTGTCCTCGAGAAATAGGGAACCCATACCAGCACTCTCCTTTCTTTCTTTCTCTCCCTTCTCCCCCCTCCCTCTTTTTTCTTACTTGCTTGTCTCGTTTTTTCTTGCCAGTCCAACTTCTGTCCTCCCCCCTTCCCCCCCCCCCGGCCATTTGATGTCTACAAATGGAAAGACATGTTTAAGTCATTTGTTCCAGGAATCAGGGAAGAAAGAAGAGCAGAAAATGAAAGAAAGGGAGGGGGTGGTGGAAAGCCTGGCATTTCTCACTTTCTACGCACCCGGAGGACCAGGAGGTCAAACAAGCCAATGAATACTAGTAAAAGCCAGTGGCGGTTTTTTTTGCCCGCTGTCAAGCTAGTTCTCCACGTAGTGATTCAGCTCTGATGCTGCAGGGAAAGTCACACTGTGTCAATTTCTATCAGCAGGAAATGCTTAGAGCTGCTGGAGCGTTCCTGGAGAAGGCAATTCCATTTGGGGGCGGGGGGGTGAGGAGTAAGAAAGGACAATTTTTATATCATAAGTGATGACATAATAACTGAGATTGAGAATCCAATTTCTTTCTTTAACACTTTTTATTCAGCCACCTAAACAGAATGGCTAACCAAGCTTGCTATATCTCTCTCTGCTTCACTGTGGCCATCTGAGGAATCGTGTCACAAGATCATAGAGCTCTCACCTTCTGCTAGTACCTTTTCTCCATCACTTCTGCTGATGTGGGTCCATTTCCTTCTTTCGGAGGTCTTGTTACTTCATGCTCCCGCGCATGACATCACAGCTTTTCTACCAGTCAATGTGAGAACAAGCAGTTTGAAAGCAAAATATTTCAGGCCACAAGCAACAAAATGAACAGGGAAGCAAGAAACATCGTGGGTGTTTTTTTTTAAAGGCAAAGAACAACCAAGATTTATATGCACAAACATTCTGGTTCATGTTTTATTGTTGGTGAATACAAAACCTAGTAGTAATTCTCCTCTCAGTTTCCTTTGGCTTGTCAGCTAAAGTTGGGGAATAGTAGGCAGCAATGAGGACTGGAAAGAGGGAGAAGAATTACCATCTTTTTCTTTTTCTTTCTTTTAAAATAAAATCCACCTGCTCCTAAAGGAGGCAGGATCAGGAGGGAGACTTGAAATCAAAAAGAAGAAACTGGCTGGGTAAAACGCACATGGCAGATCACTGGAAGATTAGTTTGCACTTAAGCTGTGGGTTTTAGTTTTAGTTTTAGATTTTTGTCCTTACTCTGAACTGTGTTCTGGAATCTGAATGAAGCAATATGGAAGCGACCAGCAAAATAAAATAATTTAAAATGTAAAGTGAATGATAATAATCATAATAATATATATCTATATATTTAAAAGGATGACTGTGGAAATGCCAAAACAAAGTGAAATCACGTCTTTGGAACTTTTTTCTCATCGGTGCACTGACTGCTCACAGGAATACTGTTGAAGGAGTAATTAGCTCTGATGTAGTCTCATGAAGGAAATGAGCAAATGAGAAAGGGGTTGCAGGGGGGGAGACGGTCGGCGAAGGGGGGGGAAGCCGTTCAGAACTGACTTTGACTAACAAACAAAAAAGACTGTGAGGCTGCTGTTGAGAATTATTGCTCTAGCACAGAGAAGAAATGCTAAATAAGGGTTTAGAAATTAGGATTGTGCATGGCTGTTATGTTCTCAGTCATATCTGTAAATAATTTGTCTCCCAGCACCTATGGACCTCTTTTCACCTTTGGCTTTTACATGCGGCCTTTTTAAAATTTTATTTTATAGTTGGTTGCTTTTTTGACGAATAGGACTTCTCTTTTTTTGCAAGAATTTTAATTGTAGCTTTGAAAATGGAATAGCCAGCTGGCACAAAGACAGGAAAGGAAAAAAAATACCCCCATGTTCCTATCTTAATATATTTGAAAGGAAATCATAGGAAAAACAAGAGTATCACAAAACTATGCACTTTAGTATTTATTAAAACCTGTAGTGGGGAATATTGAAAAGGGGATAGTATGGAAATACTGTTTGTACTTAAGAGTCAGAATGGCAAGTAGTTAAGAATTGTAACCAAGCCCAGGGTTCTTTTCAGATTTTAGAGGAATGTATTAGGAAAACCTACGAGGGGATGTTGCAAGATATCCTAAGCAGACACAGCATAGAGTTGCCATTTGAAAAGTTGCACATCAAAACTTTCCTAGTCTCTTGTGAGCTGAAGAACCAGGGTGTGGGATCCATACTGTGACATGATTTTTGTCATATGAAATCCCCTGTCCAATGTAGCTGAAAAATATATATGTATATAATGTACTAGATCACATTGCCTTTCCCCATGCTCATCCAGAAGTAGCCCCTAGTTTATAGCACTTGATTATGACACTTAGGGAAGTATTGTGATTTTTGATTTTGTTCAGATAGTTTTCTTGGTTTCTGTAAGGAAACGTGCAGTTGTGTCTTATTGTCAGGGTATCTCATGACTGCAAGGGAGGGGACCTCCCTCTGAAATTTTGAGGAGAGACGCCGTCCTGTCCCAGGCCATGACCCATCCCTATTTGAGGAGGAATTGTGAAAACTAGTTTGAGAGATTTTTTTAGCACTGAGCTTCTTGAACTGTGATCCATGGGTTTTATTCATTTCAAACAGGTTAAAAACATCTGTTTGGTTTTGTTTTTAAATTATCACAGTTGTTTTGACCAGGTTTGAGTTAGTAAACAGACTTAACAAGGCTCTGACTAGGGCCTATGATGTTCATAAAATGGTGCTGTTTCAGTCTGTTAACTTTTTTTCACAGCAGTTTTTCGGTTTGAGTCCCTTCTCAATAGCTTGTCTTAAGACCTGCTATTTTGATAAAATGGGGACCTTTTAAATTATCACGCTAACAACTAAGGGAAAAAAAGGTTATTAAAGTATGAGTTCTGTTATATGTTTTCTTTTCAATGTTGTAGAACAAAATATGTTTATTAAGTGCTGAGACCCCCACCAATTCTGAAGTGATCTCATTTTTTTTTGGGTGGGGGAGAGTTTGAGAACCGTTACTTTCATTTCTTTAATTCTTTTTTCTTTAACTTTCTTATGTTTTGGTTGCCTGGTTTTTATATTTTATATATCCAGATATGGCATTAGCTGTATGGTGTGTACATTATATACCAAGTAAAGAAGAGTAATCAGTGCTCTTTTAACTATTGTTCCTTTTCCCAGAGATCTAGCATTGAGTTTTTTAAAAGCACACTGGAGTCCACATGCTGAAGTCATTAATGCTCATGCGTTCTGAGGCCTGTAAATCTTATCAGCAGCACTGGGTCCTACTGCCACAGAGATCTCCATATCCCTGATTTTTATGGTGCTCACTCTTTATTCTTTCTGCCTGAGTACAGGAAATTCTAGCCAGAACTAAGAAACTCTGAGGTTGTTGGCTCTTGAAAGAGTGTACACTGTACGTCTCTGTCTTTCAAACCACAAACATTAAGTGTTTCCTACAGAGTTTCAGTCCCTTTTTCTTTTCTAGAGGACAGCCTGGCAGCTCACCGTTCAGAATCTTTCTTCTTGCTTTTATACAGCTATTGATTAGTATCAGTACAGCTCATGAGATCTGGATTCAAAATTTGGAACAACATTTACATGTACTTTATGTTAATATGGGAATCTGGGCCATTCCCTTTAGAACTGCAGAGACCTGGAAACCAGCATGTCTTCCTTTTTCTATACATGACGTTTGTATTGGGCCAAGTATTTGGTGAAACAAGCTATCCTCTGAATAATTAGACCTTTCATACTATATTTTATATGTAGGTGCACATCAGTATATAAGCTATTGATTTTAAATATTCCCAACCTAGTGTTCATGAGCAAAGAAATTAAGAAAATACAAACAAGTGATGCTTCCATTAAGCTTGAAGCTGTAATGCCTGTTTGTAGCAGGGTTTTGCTTGCAGAAAATATAAATTCATCCTGCTTTTTCTGCATATAAATGATTAGACTGTCCAGTAACAGAAAGTAAAATGTGGGGAATATATTTTTTTTTTCCTCTGAGCTTTAGAATAAAAAATTGCGGTAAAAATCTTGGGTTTGTCCAACAGATAGTTTCTCTTAAATACTGTATATAAATGTAGAAGAGTCATTTAGGGTTTGTCTATGCGGCTTGGCTGGAGCAGACTAAATAAGGTCAGAAGAAGGTTTGGTGGGATCCACATATCCAAATGGCGTACAGACTTCACACAACCCTATTTGATCCACATCAGCCCTTACCAATATTGTGAAGTCGCTTGATAAGCTTGATAAGGCAGCTACTACAGGAAATTGGCAAAAGCATCACTTCTTCAAGTCTTTGGAGGAGCTTTTAAAAAGTGTGTATTTGACAGTAAATATTTACTGCATGACTTTAAATGGAATATTTCCTCCTAGAAGCTTTTGTTTGCTTAGTTTTTCAAGATCTGGTGGGGAATCTGCCCACAGCTGAGTCAAGTCTTAAGCCATTTAACAATAGTGGCAAAAGGCTCACTTTTGGTCAATTTCCAGCAATCACACACTGGAAATGTACCAAGCCATTATGATCTTACATACACCAAAGAAGTAGAAGCCCATGACAGGGGCCAGAAAGGTACACGTAGGAATGCTCTGGGGATGATTTAGTTCACTCCAGCAATTACATCATGGGATTGCAGTTAACCAATCCAGCCACACAGCAGTCCAAACAACAGGCTAAATGCCCATCTGATCACACCATTATCATAGCTATGAAACATTGTGGGTTATAGAGCTTCTCTACAAGTGATATTTGCACTTCCAGAATTATATGCCAAACTGTAGCTGGAAGAAAAGTAATATACAACACTGGGCAAAATCCTGGTGGCTTAAATTTACATTGGCATAACCCAGATTGGGTACTAGAAGTATTTAATTCAAACTAATGGAAAACTTTCTATCTCCTCCTTTTGGGTTCTGAGGGCTCTTAGGGCTCCCTGTTGCCCTGGAAAAATCTTTGGGACCCTTGGGATGGGGAGAGCAAGAGCCTTTAATAGTGAAGACTTTCACAGGGTTTTATCCATTTGTCGTGGCAAGTGTTCATAACCCGCTAAAGTCTCAGGAAGGTCTCTTGAAGTGCTTGCAGTAATTCCAGCTTGGCAGAAGAGAGACACAGCTAATTAGTGCGCAATGTTGGATGATTTACAATCTTCTGAAATTTGGAGCTATGTTGTTGACTGTTTATTGATGTCACTACGGAAAGTTATGGAGAATTCCTCCAAGTAAAGAAACATAGCGTGTTTCTACTGATTGGAAATGTTGGTAGAAGAGTTGAACAGGAGAGAAGAGCTGTCCCCCCTCCCCCCATTGTGGGCATCCCAGAAAACAATTGGCTCGCCATTACTGCCAGTAGATAAAAGGACCAAGAAAAGCTTCTGTTGCCCTGTAATCTGTCAGGAATCAGGAATCAAGGCAAGACTTAGGTTCTCCTATCATAAATAATTGTGCAAACCATCTGCTTCAAAACAGCAAGGGTGTAGATGCTGCAATATCTTAAGAACATGTTTTCCACCATTTGTAGAGATTCCATTGTTAATGTACACCCATACCCTCATTTTGAAAAAGACACTGCTTGGATTATCAACTCCCATATTCCTCTGAGTATGCCATAGATCATGTGCCATAACTCTCTGGACAAAGAAATAGGGCCTTTTCTTCCAAAATATGAATTGCAGTGGCATATTTAATTTTAACATCTAGGCAATATTTAACAGCACTTAGAAAGAAATCAGGTTGATTCTGCAACAGAAAGTCCATTGTGCCGTTTAGTCATCATCTTGCCCTTTTAAAATATTTTTCAACTGCCAACATGCCTCTCTTTAAATGTAACCAACCAACCACTGAGTAAGCCTATTTCTTCTTTGGTGTTGTGCTGCTAAGAAAGACAACAGGGTAAAGCTTCCTCTGTGGTTGAGGCTCTGCTGTGGCAACTGCATCATACGACTAGATATCCTTCTGTTTGTACTGAGAAGCTCTGCTAGAACTGCTGGGCAATTTGCTCCCTTAAGAATCTAAATTTCAGATGAAAGAAACGATCATGCAACTCATAATATTAGTCAATATGGAAAGAAATCACAGAAGGTAGGTAATATTGAAGTAGTAGGCATGGCTAATAGTAACTGGGAAATTTTTCTGTG